GGGGGGGGGGGGGCACACAGACCGCTGAGCCCTGCTCTCCATCGCGCCCTGCAGGCTGACGGCGCTGTCGATAGTGTGCCTGACGCAGATCTGGCAGCTATGGAAGTTCATCCGCTTCCAGCTGCGGCGACGAAGGCAGGAGCAGGCGGCACGCAAGCGGCCCGCAGGCCAGCAGCCGCCTCGGGTGGCCAGGAAGGACGCCGGTGAGTCCTGCATCTCCAAGGTCCCGCCAGTCGCTGTAATGTGGCACCAGCGATGAGCTCCTGTAGCTCACTGGTGGCTAACAACCTGTCATTTATTCTCGCAGGTGGGCAGTACAATAATGGTGCGGTCAAGGCAGAGAACGGAGCCTCTCCACGACCCAAGAAGATCAAGGTCCTCTAACCGAGCACCTGGGCTCCACCACTGCCTACAGAACCGCCAACAGAACAGGAAAATGGCTAATGGTCATCGTGCTCTTGCCCGGAGGGCTTGAGTGTGGTTGCTGAGACCCTGGGGACAGAGGTGTCCCGTTCAGGAACAGCACGTGGGAATTCCTGAGCCCTGAAGGACATTCTCACTCATGTTGGTACTCCTTAATTGCTGGCTGTCCTCTCAGCTTCCAGTCCAGTCTTGTTTACACCCTGATCGTCCCTCTAGAAAATACACTATTTTTTGACATGTCGTCTCTAATTAGCACCAAACACTTTCACCTCATTTTGCCTTGTCTCTATCTTAGCCTAAAACTGGAAAATCAGCCTTGGTTTTGGGTCATAGGATAAAGTTTTGGTCCCCAGCTTCTCTCTGGGGGGTGGGGGTGGCAGTTTGAGTAGCTGGGTGTGGAGGCCTCAGTCCTGCCATCAATCAGGGCAAAGAACCATCTGAGGTCATTTTAGGGTCACCTGGGTCATTCCAGTCTCCTGCTGAGAGTCTCCATCCGTCTCTGCAGCACTAGTCTGCTCTGTGTCTCTGACCCTATATTACTTTCATCTGCAGGAAAGCTCAATGTGAAGATAACATCACATGCTTTTTGCTCTCTAAAGGGTGATAAGTTTAAGGATTGCACGTGCATGAGGCCTGTCACCCAGAGTACAGACTGCTCTTTCTTTGAGTTTCACTGAATGCAGACTGAACAGTTCCAGCAAACCCCGACATTAGACTGTAGCCGTATTTAACTGCTTGTATGGAAGGACAATTGCGATTTTGATGAGGTCATAATGGCTTTACTGTGGAATAAAAGGGCACAAAAGCAAATGTCTGTCAGTAATGCGAAATAACCATGAAGTCTGGGTGTCAGCGAAGTTCTGCTTTGCTAGTGTGAGTCAGGGCAGCTCCTCTTGCAGGCAACTCTATAAATAAAGACAGATGAATGTTTTTTCACACAACACCCTTTTTTCGAAGTTAGCTGTTGGTGGCAAACTGAGAAGACACTCTGGGTAGGATTAAGCTGCCCCACCCTTGGTTCTATTAAGGTGTGAAATGAGACACGGCTGTATTAGCTGTTTATATGAGTACAGGTGCATTGGGATGTTTTTTTCTTCCTCACATATTCCATCTTGCTCTCCTCTGAGTCAGATACACACATGCAGGTGAGCGCAAAGCTTGAGGTCCAAGTGCAGCCATTTATCTGGCGCCCCCTGGAGATTTCTTTAGTTATTTGTTTGTTCCCCAGCAGAACAGACGGCGTGCATGTGATCCCGTCTGTCTTCCCTGCTCTCCGCCCTGTGAGCATTTCCTTAGATCACAGGAAGAAAAATTGACAGACACAACTGTAGCCTTTTTACTGTTTATTTTTCAATAACACTGCAAAGGGACAGAAGTATCTTCTGAAGCCATCGAGCCTCATCAGGAAAGGTGACGAGATGTGATGTTTCTTCCGGTGGTTTATGACGCACATGCATCGGTCACCCCTGCATCCTTTACATCCAGCATACTGCTTCGCTCTTGCTTGACCTTCAGTAACAGGCCAGCTTTATTTAAACACGGATTTCGTTCGATCCTTGTTGAATTATGAAATTCGGTAATGCAGTAGTATTCCTTGTAGTGTCCACTAGATGGCAGCCCTGAACCACAAACAGCCCATTTCCTAGCCTTTGCAAAGCAACGTCACTGTTTAAAAGGGAAATTTTGTGGCCTTTAGGACCTTTATAAAAGATGCTGAAAATCACGAAAAACACTGACGTGGGTGACGATGCATCCTCATGGGTTTTCAGTGTCTTGGGCTATCTCTGCAAACAAGGGATTCAGTCCGTAACATCTTTGATGTGTGACAGTCTATTACATCTCCTAAGAGGGGGCGCTGTCATGCTGACCTACCAGTGCTCTGGGCCTGTTCAGGAAGCAGGCCCAGGTGCTGACGCAGGGAGGAGAGTGTCTGGGAGGGGATCTGCTCCGAGATGGTCTCCAGGTACTTCAGCACGTAGTGGTCTGCATCAGTCAGGACGAAGCGGTGTCTGAACACTGAGGGTGGAGAACCAAGCAGAGGTTGAGATGGAAAAGGGGACAATCAGGGTTTCAGAAGGTATAACAGGATGTAGATGCATCATAAGATGTGACAGAGGGTGAGGGTGAAAGTGTAATGTGAGGTCTGGCAGAAAAGTCTAAAGTGTAGAAAGTTCACATGTATAGACTTTTCCAGTTTGTAGTGAAGGAAAAGCAGCTGATAAAAGTGCTGAATGGTATCACAAATAGTAAATCGGGAACAGTATTTAAACCAGGCATTTTTGTAATAAAATGCATATCACACCTATATAAACAGGTCTTGGGTCTGCAAATACTTAGTGCAAAACTAGTAAACACTCAACCAATCCACAAAGCCAAACCACAGATGCTTCATTTAAAATACACTATCACATCAGATTAGTGCGAAAATTGGCGTAAATTGCAGAGTGCACTGCGTACTTGATCATAGCGTTAATTTAAACCTATGCTTGATATAGCTGGCATGGTAAAAATTGGGTTGGTGTGCAAAAAATGTTGAGAACCACTGGTGTAGGGATATGAAATGTGTTGGAAGCACTGTGCAGTAGTTAGGGGGCTGCATATCCCCCCCTTGATTACAATGGCAGAGAAAAGGAAGTCATTGCAAACGACTGACCCTCCACAGTGGCTCCAATGGCGAAGTCTGCCGGGCTGTAATATTGCGGATTGTCCACCGTACTGCCCGGTTTGGGAATGCGCGTCTTCTCCAGAAACTTCCCACTGATGATCCCAGAGTTGCGTGCCGACGTCTCGAAGATGCTTATCATGTCGTCGGCGAGGAAGTAAGAAATAATGAAGCGACGGCCCTGGTCCAAGGGATTGTGGGAATCCTGTGACACAGCAGGAGTCTCATTCAGCTCCTTCCCAGCAAGCTGCGTCACCCACACCTGATGTGTCACTCAGTGAAAGTCGGGCTTCTGCGGGAGCAGATTAAACTGCGCCTCTCCTGGCAGCGTCAGAATCAGCAGTAACTCTAAACAGCTATAATATTCTGCAACTGAGGAATCCAGTAAAATGACTCAGGCCTGACATTTATTTCCTATTCATTTAACTAGTGGCTTACCCCCTTGAGTAGAAATTATTATCGAGTCAATCAAAACATACAGGAACACCAGTGCATTCCCAGACATCTTAAAATACCTAAATAAAATGTTTTTTCAACATTGATTCCTTAAGAGATATTCTTATTGTTACTCGGTTACTGTAACACAGTAGTGTAACACTGAAGCCTACAGGCTTAATTGAAGATGACAATGACCTTCCAGTAAGCCCTAATCGAACTGAACAGCTCTGAGCCTGCCTTTGTTTTCAGTTAACTGGTGATTATAGCAATTATTATTAATGGTGCGAGAAATGAGGCTTTGGAATCTACAGTTGGTGGGATTATAGTGTGCTGCAAATCGCCTGATTTATGCTGACGGGGCCCAAAAATTTATCCAATGAGAAGTAAACAGTAGATGACTGACAGCCAAAGATAACCCCACCCACTATGGACCTCATGCGGGCTTGGTTTGCTTTCAGGCACAGAGTTCGGTACTCCTCACCATCCTGGCTGCGTAGCGCAGCACTTTGCCATCGTTTCCCAGCAACTTCAGGAGGTCCTTTTTGGGTGGCTCAGGCACGAGGGACAGGCAGTTCTGTAAGGAATCTTCCAGGCTCCCGAAGCCGTTGTAAGGAGGAAGCTCCTGCGGGTGTCAGGGGTGGGAAGGTCTAACTACTGGGCTCAACACACAAGGGTTAAGGTTTCCCTGCCGTAAAACTTTACGTCAAGCCAACATAAAAATGGCCATAAACAGTCCCTAATATATTGGGCTCTGTCTAACAGCACCACCCTTAAACATCATTCATCACCTCCCCTATACCTCCCCCCCCCCCCGCCGACCAAACCTCCACAATTCATGACTGTTCATTTTTACCATATGCATTCCCGTATCTTTACCATAAATTACTCTGATTTCCTCCTGGTGCTCGTCCGTCACTGACAGGAATTTCCACAGTTATATTGACATTAGACCATTAGATAGTTATGTTCTCTTTTTGATGACTCAACTATGTATTTAATAAAGAAATTCAAGTAACACCAGCAGCTTTTTGTACTTTATTGGGCTATTAGTGTCCATTAGCGATGTGCTTAAATCAGGGGTGATTCTGGGATTGAACTTTTAGGGGGGCTTAGCCACCTTAAGAAATAAGGAAACTTTGGGCTGCAAATTAAGTAAAACTGAGAATGTCTGCTAGTTATTTAAAAAACAGTAATAAGCCTTGGGGTAACTTGTGGGATGTGACTGTGGGGGGGGG